AGGAAGGGAGGGAGGAAGGGGGCAAAAGGAAAGAAGGAAGGAAAATATGAATTTATTTATGATTATTGAAGAAGAAAAAATTTTCAATTACGTTTCAACACTTAAATTATTAACAAGACTCCTGAAAACAAAAAGAGAGAGAGAAAGAGGGAAAGAGAGAGAAAGAGAGAGAGAGAGAGAGGAAAATAAGTAAAAATTTTTCCTTTCAACATGTTGTAATATAATTAAACGTGTAATTTTTAAATCCACGTTCACGTGTATATTTTAAAAATACGCAAACGAACGAACGCACGGACATCAAGGGGGCCTGGGAGTCGAGTCCGAGGACCAGGAACACACAAACACACGCACACATACGCACACACACACACTTTAAAACACCCATTTACCTTAGTAATTATTTGACTGCACCTTAAAATAGTATATACCGGTATTGCAACTTTTCTGGTTAATCGCCAGCTTTTTTTTTTCATTTTCATTTTAAACCCTTGTTTGTGTACGCGGGCATTCTTAAAATAACACGGATTTCATTTAATAAATACTTAACGAATGTGTCAAGCCAATTTTTTTTTTTTTTTTTTTTTTTTATAAGCCACGTCGAGTTTTTATTATTATTATTATTATTATCATTATTATTTTTTAACGAACGGACTTTTGTACCTCGCACCTTTTTTTATTTTATTTTGCTCCTTTGAATAAAAATAAAAATAAAAAAAATTTTATTTTTAACTTCGTAATAACAAAATCAATTCGACAATATACGTTTCAAAACGAATTTAATCTCAAGAGAGAGAGAGACAGCGTGAGAGAGAGAGAGAGAGAGAGAGAGAAATTAATTATTATTATCTATTAATAAGTTTTTTAAAACAACCACACACACGCACTCACACACACACCTTAATAAAAAAAACCGTGAAATTACTCGCGCGCGAAAACCCGGAAGGAATTAATCAACCTTCGACGTTTTTTTTTTTTTTTTTTTTTTATATTATTAAAACGTGTCTGTAACTTTTATATTATTATTATTATTAAATTAATAATTTTCTTGTACAAGGCTCCCCGCCCCACCACCTCTTGATCATTCAAAAAACCTGATAAATGTGAATCTCCCGCAAAATTGAGGAGGAAAATTCGAAAAAAAAATTTATTTAATTAAAAAAAATAACCGTTAATCGAATAATTAACAGTTAGAAAATTATTTAAATCTTTTCTTTTTGAAATCGCTTGTTTAACTATTATTATTATTTTTTATATAAAAGTGATAGAAAAACAGATTTTGCGCCAAAAAAAAAAAAACAAATTGTTTGTTTGTTAACCTTCGTAGAGTAATTAAATTTCATTAAAAAAAAATTAAACATTGGGTTGTTTTAATTTGAAATGAAAGTAGTGGAACTTGATTTCTTACCTAATATGTAAACTATACTAGTCTGCCATCTTGCTAGGTAGGAAAAAAAAATTTTTTAACAGTTCAAATCTGCCGGTCAGAGAAAAAGAGAGAAAGAGAGAGATTTCTTTTATCATTTGTATTTATGTAAACTATTATTATTATTACTAATTGCATTATTTTATTTATTTATCTCAATTATTGATTATTGATTTTTTACCCTCAAGAATGAATGTTTGCAAACTGATTTAAAATAAAAAATTTATTTATTATTAAGTTATTATGCATATCAAAACGCGCGTTTTCAATCAAATTAAATAAAAAACGTTTTTAAATAAAAAGGAGAGATTATTTTTATTATTATTATTGCTGGAAAAGTAACGATTTTGTTCTATTATATGGAAATGTCTATATGTATATGTATATGCATAAAGCAAACATACAAACAAACAAAATACACAAATAAAAATCTATTTTTAAAAAATTTCACGTACTCTACAATAAAAATAAATAAAATAATAATAATAATAAATTCTAAAATATATAATACCGATCGTATAACTCTTAAAACGAAATAAAATGAAAATAAAAAAATAAAAATAAAATAAAATAACGAAACTAAATATTTCAAGATGGCGGAGACTTTTGATAGCGCGGATGAATAACAACAACATCCACGGACTAACCAGGTTAGGTTAGGTTAACATTTTTTTTCAATATCGATTTATCGATTATCGATTTGTAATAATGTTAGTAAAAAAACTGAAAGCGTAAAGATAAATAAATAAAATTATAAATAATAAATTTGAACGAATCCGGGGACAAAAAGAAATATTTAAAATAAAAAATGTAATAATGTACGTACATTCGTCGAATGGGGAATGACAAAATCAAACAATAATTTCACAACATTATTCACTTATGAAATAATAATAATAATTAATAATATAATAAATCATTTCAAAATAGTTTTAAGTAAATAAATAAAATGAATTTGAAAACAAAAGAAAAAAAAGAATTAACAACAAGACATCATCATGCTTTCACATGTAGTTATAATGTAACGAACAATGGTGACCACAATGAATATGTGTACAAACTAAAACGGCCTTAAATAATTCCATACAACAACAAACAACAACAAACAAACAATCAAATTCTTTCTTTTCATATTCTTAAAGTTTAGATTTATGCAAGAAAAACAACAACAAACACATGGAATAAAGGCAAATTTGTTTAACATGTAAACCCCTGTACAAATCCATAATTTTAAAATTTATGTAATTGATATTAATAAATTTACATCCACTCTATTAAACTTTAATAAAATAAAATAAAAACAAACTTACCCAATGTTATCAATCGCAAAATCCGAAGTTCAGATAGATAAATTAATAAAAATATGTAATAATTATCTATGTATATAATTAATAATTAAAACTATTAATCAATTATTTTACTATATCACTTTTTTTTTTACTCAGAGTACTAAAGTCCCGGAAAATTTATACAAAAAACATAAATAAATAAATAAATAAACATGTAATAATTATTATTATTACGTAATAATAATAATAATAATAATAATAATAATAACGTACACACAAAATAAATCAAAACGATTAAATAGTGAAATTGAAATTGAATTTTTTTTTTTTGCATTAACTAAACATTATTAAGATTTGTAAAAGCAGTGGCGGATAAAGGAGTATACTTAGACGATACAGAAAAATTTACTAATAAATAATCTTAATATAAAAAAAAGAAAAAAAAAATTTAAAACCGTTTTAAAAAAAAAAAAAAAAAAATTATTCCGCCATTAGAATACAACAACTACTACATGTTTAATACATGGGATGCACGTATAAAAAAATTCCTTTTTTTTTTTTTTTTTTGTTTAAACAAAGAATAAATTATAAAACGACAAATAATAATAATAATAATAATAATTAAAAATTAAAAAAATAATAAAAAACGAGAACAAAAACAAAAAAAAAAACAACAATAATAATAACAACAACAACAACAATAGTATTATTATTTCCAAATGAGACACTTGTTGCGCACGGCAAGTTTTATTTTTTTTTTTTTTTCCTCTTTCTTTCTAGTCGGTATCCATCCGCGTATGCTCGTTCACTGAATGAGTAGATTTTATTTAGAAGCATTCATGTTTATTAAATCAATTGTAAGAAGTCTTTTCTTGTCGTTTAATTCTCATTACGTATCTCATTCAATTAATAATTAATTTAAAATTCGAGGGATCATCATAAAGTTTTTTTGTTATTTTTTTACTTAACATAATTTTATTTTTTCTTACGCATATATATTTAATAAAATTAAATCGTACTAATTAATAATTAATAATTAATAATAATAATAATAATAATAATAATTTAATTATTTGATTTTTCTTACAAATTTACTTTTATAATTACGCCGCGTTTTTTTTTATTTATTTACTATTTACGCTTTGCACAATTTTAAACATTCCAATTTTTTTTTTTTTTTAATTGTTTGTTAATTGCGCACATCAAATCGTAAATTTTTTTTTTATTACTGCTTTTCTTACCGTAATATAATAGTAATAATAATAATAATAAACTCGAAAAAATAAAAAAAATTAATCGTTAATAATAAAAATAAATTGTAATTTTTTTTAAAAAAAAAAAAAAAAAAAAACTATTTTTACAGTCTTTAAATTTAGGGGGGAAGGGAGGGAGGAAGGGAGGCAGTGGGAGGAGGAAAAGGAGGGGGAGGAGGGAGGGAAGCAGGGGAGGAGGAGGGGGCAATTCGAAAAGATATTCAAAAAAAAATTTTTTAATTATAAAATTAAATTTAAATTATGCCAACGTTGGTTGTAGTAAATAAAATAATTCCATCGTAATAATTTTCCATAAATCGATCTTTTTCCCCTTATTAATAATAATAATAATAATAATAATAATAATAATAATAATAATGATAATTAGTTCAGGGGTGAAAAAAGAAATTGTCCAGTTAATTTATTTATTTTTACTAAATTTATGATAATGATTTATTAAAAATAATATTTTCATTATAAAATCATTTTTAAGAAAAATTTTTTTTTTTTTAGGTTGGCATGCATTGTTAACGTTTTTAGGCGTTTGATAACGTTTATTGATAAGAATATCGAATTATTTATGTATTTATATAAGATAATAAAAATAAAAATTTTTTTTCTTTCTCATTGATTTTTATTATAATTGTTTGTTAGCAAATATTACCAAAAATAATTAATTAATTTTTTTTTATTTCTTATTTTAATGCATGTAAAAATTGTTGTAGATGTTAAACAACAACAACAAACAAACAAACAAAAGAGTGAGGGAAAAAAAAATTAAATTATTTTAAGAGGCAAGTTTTAATAAAGGTACACTGATATTAATATCATCCATATCCGTTGAAAGAGTTATGCTTGGTAGATTTTCCGAACCGCATTTTTTTAAATTTTTGTCGCCATTTTCGTTAAAATCAACATTGTTTAATGTAGGTACGCTCAATGATGCGTAATTGTTGTTGTTGTTGTTGTTGTTTGTTAATATCGTAAAATCCGCATTTAAAAAATTCGACGGATTTTTTGTTGTCTCGCATTTTTCTATGCACGGACATGATGAACTCGTTCTTCGGATTTGTTCTAAATTTAAATAAGGTTCGAGAAGACACATTTTTTTAGGTGAATCGTCTGCTATTACTTCGAGAGATGATTCTTCACCGTCGAATCTTGCAAATCTTAATTTTTTTGGATAATCTAAACTCGAACATCGAGATATCGGATTGTTTTTCGTTACGTCGTTTTGTTTATGTTTACTTTTTAAACTGCTTCTCGGAATGTTCGGATTTGTTTGTTGTATTGTTTTGTTTTTGTTTTTGGAACCTGCGAGTATAGCACGTCTGGCTGATCTTTCTTCCGATCTTTTAGCTCTCGCTTCGGCATTTTCACCTTTTAACCAATACGTGAATTGATTTCCTTTTCCTTTCATCGGCACGACTCCTCTTTCCGTAAGGTTATAACCTCCTAATTTTTCCAGTAATAATTTTGTTTCTAAACTGCAATGTATTCGTCCTTCTAGAAAATAACAAACGTAAATTTTTGATTGTATTGTATTTGTTTAAAAAAAAATTTTGCAAAAAAAAAAAAAATGAAATTCTTATAAATAGCTCATGGCCGTTTGAAAATGTTTGTTTTTGAAAAACGTTGTGAAATTGCAGCTTTAACCATTTTTTTTTTTTTTTTGTTAAAATAACATACATAAATCTTTAAAATGTATTAAATATTTAATTTTTCAACAAACAAATAACAATCGACAAACGTTAAATAATAATTTTTAAAAATGTTTGTTTCCTTTAACAAAAAAAAAAAAAAAAATTGGTACCCCTGAATAAAAAATAATTATGCACACCGCAACACACTTACGATTTCCAGTTGATTCCATACGACTGGCGGTGTTGACCGTATCACCGAACAAACAATATCTTGGCATTTTAAGACCTACAACCCCTGCACAAACAGGTCCCGAATGTATTCCTATTCTTAATTTAACACCCTCGTTCGGCCTGTGTTTTATTTGAAATTTTTCTACTGCTTCCAGTAAGTGTAAAGACATTGTTGCTATTTCTCCAGCGTGTTGATCACCGTTTCGTATCGGAAGTCCAGATACGACCATGTAAGCATCACCTATGGTTTCCACCTTCAAAAAAAAAAGGTTTTAAATATTTTCATCGTGGGGGAAATTGATTTCTTCGTAGCAGAAGATAATCGAATTACCTTATAAACATCGTAATTTTCAATCGTCGAATCAAAACACGTGTATAAATCGTTAAGAAAATCTACAACCTGTAATGGCGTACTTTCGGCAGACATTGCCGTGAAACCGACTATGTCGCTAAAATAAATGGTGACGGAATCAAAATTTTCCGCTTCGACTTTATTTCCTCTTTTGAGTTGTTCGGCAACGGTTCTCGGTAACATTTCATAAAGTAAAGCTTCAGTTTTTTTTTTCTCTTCCATCAATTGATCCGTTCTGTCATCAACGAGTGCTTCGAGATTATTTGCATATTTTTCCATCATCGCCATCATATTATCAAAAATATTTGGTTTCCTAAAATTAAGTTATCACGTTTCTTTAATGTAAAAACTTCAGGTACGGATCATCATCATGTATTATCAGGATTGTTGTTAAACTCACATGCCTTTCCTCATTGGTCTTAATTTTGTTCTTATGGCTTTGAAATCAGGTCGCATTTCAGGATCTTCTGCCCAACATTCTTTTAAACAATCTCGTACAAAATCGAAACTATTTTCAAGTGCTTCCAACGGAGGCCTAATTACAAAAAATATCAATTATAATAGATCGATTTATAAGAGAGAGAGAGAGAGAGAGAGAGAGTTCGTACCGGAAGGGAGGTTGTAATGGATCACGATTAATAACTTTTTGTAAAATTTGTGCATGTGTCAAACCACAATTTCCAAAAGGTCCCTGACGACTGTGAAGTTCGTGCAAAATTATGCTAAAAGAATAAACGTCACCTTTTTGCGAACCCAATTCTTCTTCGCCATTTAAATTTTCCAGTCGTAATATTTCAGGACTTTTGTACAAGCAGGCTGTGACAAAAAAAAAGGTTAAAAGGTTTTTCGTTAATAAAAAAAAATTTAATATGAAATTTTATCGAATGCATACCTTCTAACTTGGGCGTAGAATTTCCATCTTCTTCTTCTTCTTCAGAATCTTTTTTAAATTCTCTTAAACCGAAATCGGATAATTTCACAACCCATCGAGAATCTACCAGACAATTTGAAGTTTTTAATTTTCCATGATATTTAACTGGAGAATCATGCAGGTAAATCATTCCGCGAATAATATCACCGACTAGGGAAGCGACAAACATGTTGTCCAACTTAACATCTTCGTTTTCTAATATATCCCTTAAAGAACCTCTCGAACAATATTCTGTTATTATGCATATGTTAGGTGCATCCGTACACGCTCCAATGAAAGGATTAAGGTTTTCGTGCCTTAAATCTCTCATCTGAAAAAATTTTATTTAATAAATAATCCGAACATCAGACAAAATTCATAACGGAAGAACATTATAAGCAAACAAACCATTTTTAATTCTTTTTTCATGCTCCTCGTCATGTCGATTGATTTTTTTTTAACTCTTTTAAGAGCGAGTAATCTTCCCCTGTACCTGCATATTGTTGTAAAAATAGCTGAATACCGGAAATCGGCATCAGGATTTGAACTTAATGAAACTTGACTAGTACGAACTAAAGGATGAGTTGCCCTGTAATTATGAGATCTATAAAACTTAAATTTTATTTTGCCAAAAAAAGAAAATTTATGTATTTATTACGGGAAATTTGTTTTCATCATCGTACCTGGTTATTTTTGCACCTAATACGTTGGTAACATCATCTTCATTTATTTGTATATCTTTAAAATCCACTTTCCACAATAAACTATCTAATTCTTGCTCGTATTTCCAATTTCTATAGAATATCAAACCCGCAATTACGAGAACTAAAAAAATTGAACCGGAAACGGCTCCCATTATTTGACTCGTGCGCGCTAAAAATTTTATTTGAATTAATTTTTAAAGAATTTTTATGAGAACTTTCAACAGCAACAGCAAAAAATACTCACTGACGCATTTTTTCCCTCTGAAACCGCAAACGGGTTCTGCAACTGGAGGATATTTTCCGATCCAGTGTATTGTACTTGTTTCTACTAATGTCTATTCAATTAAACAAAAGAAAATTAAAGAAAAAAATAACTTTAGGAACCAAAAAAAAATTATCTCATCAACTACTCACGGGTAATTTCGAATTGTTTTTCTCCCTTGTAAACAAACCTACGGGATATAAACCGTAAGATTGTGGTAATTCATGATGTGGTTTTCTTGCTAATAACGTATAATTCCCTTCGGCATCACCATTTTCATCTATGTACACCATGTACCTAAAAAAAAACAAGAGCAAACAAACGCTCCTGGATAAAAAATTATTAGTAAAAAAAAAAAAAGTCGTGGGATGAATATATACCTGAATTTGCCTACGCGTAATAATATCTCAATAAAATAATTATTAGTTTGGTGTATATAAAAACGTCACATTATATCATTTAATAATTAATTTAATTATTATTATTATTATTATTATTTATTAATAAATAAAAAAATTTCGTAAAAAAAAAAAATTTTAATTTATTATCATAACGTACCCCATCGCACTTTGATAATGAGTTCCTTTTATAGCTTCAATTATAGCCGTCCCATTTAATGGATCCTCACCTTTTTCAATCACGTGATTAAGAGCTTTCGCGTATAAATGAACGGCATCGTATAAATAACCCGCTTCTGCTGGAATCTGAAAACAAAAAAATCCGAAATGAATTTTCGAAAGTAAAAAAAAATAAAATTGAAAAAAATGTTACAACTACTACTACTACTGCTGCTGCTGCTACTGTTGCTGCTGCTACTACTACTACTACTACTACTCACCACTTTCGTTATACCCAATTGAAAAAAGGGATTTGAAAAATTAAATGGCGGTTTTTCCATGTATTCGTTAACTTTAACGCTTATGTCGTGCATGTTTATCGGTGATGTCGGTACGATACCGAAATAACTAGCAAATGCTTTCACGACGACTGGATCTATATCGTCTCTTAATAATCCTCTCATGTACCTTCCAGGATCTTTATCGTCGTATTGTTCTAATTCCACGCCGACGACGAAATATTTACCACCCGTTAATAATTTTCTTTCTTCCATGGCTTTTAAAAGTCCTAAATGTTCATCGTGACTTCCGAGTATGACGTAAACTGAAAATTTTAAAAAAAAATTTAAATTAAAAACTGTGTTTGCCAAATGAACTTTATTAATAATAATAATAATAATAATAAAAGACGAACGTAAAAGGACGATTTTAAAACATGCTCGTCAACTTTCAACAAGAACAAAAAACAAAAAAAATTGAAAAATGAAAAAACCGTCAGTTTTTTTTTCTTATTCTTCTTCTTTTATTCTTCAGAACTTTCTTATTATTATTATTATTATTATTATTTTTAAATAACCTTCGAATTATTAAATACTTTTAATTACGCACGTAGAATTTTAATCATTAATTTTTTTTGTTCCCGAAAAAAAATTATAAAAAAAAAGAAAGAAATTTTTCTTTTTTTTTTTTGGGATTATTGCGTCGATTTATTAAATGCGATGTCGTCGTCGTCGTCGTCTTCGTGGTTTTGTGCCAACGATAAAAAAAAAACAATTAAAAAATAAAAAATTTTTTTTTTTTTGGATATTAACTAAGCCAAAATAATTTTTCCAGGCCTTGACTCCAAAATGTGACGATAAAATTAATTAATATTTAAATGGGGCATACAAAAAAAACTTTCTCATTACATATTTATTATTTAAAAAAAAAAATGTCTTTTCTTTGAATTATTATTATTATTATTACTAAACTGGAATTATTTTAAACACACACACATCGGCTGGAAGATAAAATAATAATATTTATTTGAAACTCGATATTAAAATTATTAAAACGTTTATTTGCACTTGATTTATTTATTATTACCGGTATAATTTTTATTAGATTACAAATTAGAACGCACTCCGACATTTTTTAATACAAACAACAACAACAACAACAACAACTCAAACATATAAATAATAAAAACAATAAATAAATAAAATTTTTTGTATAACGATCGTTTTCTGAATTTGAAATTTCCAGACTTGGAATATAAAATACAAAAACCGGAAATTTAATTTTATATATATATATATATATATATATATATATATATATATTTAATATAATTTTCCACCATTTGCGTCAGAAACACATTTAATTTTATATTTTAATAAACAAACAACAACAACAACGACAACAACAAAACGTTTGTCGATTTAAATAATTTTATTTCGCATGTGTGTGTGTGTGTGCGTCGTTTTTTTTTACGATTTAGTTTCTTTTCGAATAACTTCCGGTTATATAGGTATTATTTAAATATTCGGGTTTTATTTCCGGTACGAATAAATTTGTTTCGCGTTTGTTTTTAAAGCCGTCACATAATTGTCATGACGTTGTTGACAGACGACACGCGCGCTCTTGATTTTTTTGTTTGTTTGTTTGTTTGTTTGTTTGTTAACCGACGAAATGTTTTTTTTTTTTTTTGAGGCATCAAACGAGATTAACATTCTTTTAAAATTAATTTAAATTTAATGAGAGAGAGAGAGAAATTTTTACTCACTTCTTGCATCCTGATGAGTATCCTCGACCAAACGATGAAAAGGATTTTCCGAATATGGAAACTGATATGGAAAATACCAAGATTTCGTTTGCAATATAGTTATTTTAGCAGTCTTTAGAGTTTTTATTATCGTAACGGCAACTTTTCGAAACATGTCATTTTCCGAATCCAAATATAAGAAAATAACTTTTCTCCAATTGTACGCTAGCAAAAGTGCAGCCAACGATTTTGAAATTTGAGTATCCGGGGGTCTCGTACGAGCAAAAGTTCTGAAATATTTTTTATTCGATGTTTCTTGATCGGCGCAAAACTGAAATCAAACGAATAAAACTTAAAAAACACACGTGACAAAAATTTAAATTTATCAGTTGTACACGTGTATAATAAAAAAAAAACACGTACGAACGATGAAAAACCTAAATAATAATATATAAATATCTGACATTGCGGAAAGAAAGTAAAAAAAAAAAAAAATTTTTTTCAGGGTCAAGGTTTTTTCGTGACATGTCATCATCATCATCTATTCTCGTTATTTAAAATTTTTTTTTACGGCGGTGACACGCGCTCACGATCGTGTCAAATTTTTACCATTTTCATTTTATCAAAAATAAATAATAATAATAATAATTTCTGGCGCGTATGGCGTTGAATTAAATTTTATTAATCCCTACATCATCGATTCAAAGCTTAAATAATTTTTAGAAAGACTTAAACGCGGTTAAAATTATTCGGAAGAAATCTTCCCCCTCCCCGAGGCCTGTTTTAAAGAGAGAATATTTTCCCTTCAATAAATAAATGACGTCATAAAATTAATTAATACTCACGTATGATATCATTGGTAGATTAAACGAAGCGGCCATTCTACCCTCGTGCACGCACGTTTCCTGTGGTCCTATATAAGCGGATACGTTTGCTCTCCACAATTTAGCCGTTTGATCGATGCTTATTTCTTCATCACCGTAAGTTTCCGCAACGATGAATGATAATCTACGATTCGATCCTTTTTCTATAAATTCTTCATTTATTTTATCAACGGCATAAGAAATGGCACCGGATATTCTTAAACCAGGCCTTGAATATTCCAAATCTCCCGGTTTTCTCTGGGATCCCGTCAAATAACCCAATACGTATTCTTCGGTTGACGATAATGATATCACTGAAGCAATGCTCAAACAGATTATCCACATGTCATGAGAAAATAAAATTTTGTATTTAAATTTTTCCCTTTTTTTCTAGAAAAAAAAAAAAAAAACCTGGAGAAGAAAACAAAAAACAGGAACCAAGTCCGAAACGAATTTTTTTTTCCAAATGTATTCATGACATGTAAAATCTTTTAAATTGAAAAAATCAAACGAAATTTAAAAGAACAAAAAACAAAAAAATGTCAATCAATTATAATTTTATTCCTGATTTCGATTGAGGGGAATAAAAAAAAGGGAAAATTAAATTAAGATGAGACAAAAAGAGATTTACTTTCGACAGCCCCCCTTCCCCCTTCCCCGCTTGATATTCCAAAAATAAATGACACCAAAAATTTCATTTTAAATTCCAGAGGGAGAAAAAAAAAAAGAAAAAAATTCAAAACAGAAATTTTTGAATTTTTTTTCTTTTTTTTTTTGATTGCACATTCCGCCATTTTGTTTTTTTTTCGGGTTTCGTATGATAATTATTTTGTCCAGGAAAAAAATTTTCAAAATGACGTAACGACAAATGTTGAATGGAAAAAAATTTGTTTTTTTTACGTGTCGCAACTGTTTTTTTTTTTTTTTTTTTTTTTTTTTTGATTTTCAAGTAAAATTTTATTAAAATTTTTTGTTTTCTCTCTTCCCTCCCCTTCCTCCTCTCTCTCTCTCTCTCTTTCTCTTTCTCTCGAAAAAAAAAAAAAAAATTTCCCGACGGAATTTGATTTTTTTCCATCGTAGAAAACACTTTACAAAAAAGAAAGGCAATTAATTACTTCCGCCATTTTTTTTTGTCTTCTTCTTCATTTTATCGTGAGCACAACAAATTAAACAAAATTATTATTATTATTGTGTTTCAATCAAACATAAAAGAAAAAAACAACAAACCTTTTAAAACATTAACAAAAAAAAAACAAAAACAGGTACGAAAAGAAAACATCATTTCACGCCACGGATATCATTATTATTTTATTACGTCATCAAAAAACGATTATGAAATTTTCCAAAATTGTTATATTATGATTTTAACACTTTGATTGACACGCCACGATCGGTTTCTTTGTATGACGTCATACCCTTTACCTTAAATAATTAAAAATTTAAATCGAAGGTTTTTCTAAATTAAAACACACGAATACAGGTACGCGTTGAAAAAAAAAAAAAAAGTCGCAAAATTTTTTTTTTTTTCGCACTCCTCGCGGCGATTAATCCACCATGTTTTTAATTAATTAATAATACAAAAAAAAATTATGGCGGTTAAAATTATAATAATAATAATAATTGCAATGAGGGTATTTTTATTCAAAAACAAATTATGCGGGTTGAAAATTGTATTAAGAGTGTAATTTTGACGTGTATTTAGATAATCGAGAGGATTTAAAAGAAAGGAAACGGAAACGTTTTTTTTTGCACGATTTAAGTAATAATTTTATAAAAAGTGTACATAAATATATTTGATACCTAATGAGAAGTTTTTCCTTTTTTTTTTTTTTTATATAAAAAGGAAAAATTTTCATCTCTGAGGGTTTTCTTTTTCTCTCTCTCTCTCTCACTAACGAGATTTATCCATTAAGTAAAATTTAAAAAGGCCAGCCTGGGGTTTTATTATTGAAAACTAAAATTTTATTTGTGAAAACTTGATAACTTCATCGTATAACAATCGAAAGCTTTCTATTGTAAATTATTATTATCATTATTACTATCGAAGGAAAAAAAAAATAATAAGAACGCGAGAAAGAGAGAAAAAGAGAGAGAGAGAGAGAGAGAGAGAGAGAAGGAAGGAACAAAACTTTTCAAACGCCATAGATTGTTGTTTTTTTTTTTTTTCGAAGAAAAATTTTCCTAAAAAACTTTTGACTAAATAATTTTTTTTAAAAATTATTATTATTATTATTACTATTATTATTATTATTATTATTATTATTATTATTATTATTATTATAAAAACTTTTTCATTATTATTATTATTATTATGCATTTCGTTTAAAAAATTTTTTAAAGACAATAACAAAACAAAAAAAAAGCGGGAAAGAATAACAGATTAAAACAGAAACACAAACGCAAATGTTTATGTTTATGTTTTTTAACAAAAAAACAAAATTAAATATAAATTTAAAAAAAAGGTGGGGGTCAATGAACTTTGAATAATTATACAAGCTTCAACGAGCAAAAAAAAAAGCCATTACAAATAGAATGTAAAATAAGTTTTCTTTCTTTCTCTCTTTCTCTCTCTCTCTTTCTTTCTTTCTCTCTTTTTTTCTGTATGTTTATCCGTTTAAATACTTTTAATTACGAACAAGAAAAAAATTTTTTTTTTTTTTTATACAAATTAAAAAAAAAAGAATTCATCATCCCTCGTTTTCATCCCTCTACTTAACTATTTAAAACACTCTTCGGCCATTTTGTTTTTTTTTTTTTCTTAATTAACCTACCTACCCACGTAGTAATAAATATTTTTATATTAATGAATTTAAATAAAAAAAATAAATAAATCGCATTTATTAAATTTTAATAATAATAATAATAATAATAATAATTTTTAATTAAAAATAATAATAATAATAATGTAAATGAAAAAAAGATAAACAACGAGGAGAAAATAAATTTAGAATTACAATTACTTAATTATGATAATTTTATAAAAAAAAAAAAAAATATATAAATATTGGCGAGAGCGGGCATAACGGCGGCCATATTGTTTGTTAAAAATATGGTGGGTCTTTGACATTTTTTATTTTAAATAAATAAATTTAGGTGGAGGAGAACAATGGTGGTCCCCACATTTAATAATCATCGACACTCCCATTTATATAAAAAAAAAGATTTTTTTTTAATGTCAATGCCGCGAAAATAATTTTTTTAAATCCGTTAAAAAAAAAAAATTCTAAACCGACTTACTAAGAAGAAACCGGGAAACAAACAAACAAACAAACAAAAAAACAAACGAACAAACAAAAACATAAAAAAAAAATTTCCGTTTTAATTAATGTCGATTTGAAACATAGAAAAAATGAAATAATGTAATTTTTTTTTTTTTGTACTTTCCTTTTCGATTATCCCAATCGTCTAAGTATTAAATTTCTAAAAAAAAAATTCGGAAAATTCGGAAAATTTTTTTTTAAAAAAACACGATACGTCGGCATAACATAATTTTGTTAATCTAAAATAAAAAGAAAGAAGTGAAAGGTAAAAAAGATTAGAAATAGTACACCGAAAAAAAAATGCGAACGTTTCCTTACTTTCTCTCCCATTAAAAAAAAAGAAAAAAAAGAAAACAATTAGTTTAGTAAAAAAAAAGGCAACGTCAAAAAAGAAGAAAAATGAAAAATGATAATAATAATAATAACCATGAGTGTCATAATAATAATGATAATAATAATAAATATGCCATTACGAAAACATAAAGAAAATAACAAACGAAATATGTTGAAACGATCTATGGAAGAAGAATGAAAAAAAAAAAAATATAAAAACATAAAAAATAATTTTATCGTTGCAAAAGAAAGAAAGAAAAGAGAAAAAAATGTCTTCTGCTTTTTTTTATTATTATTATCATCATCACTTCGACTCGATGACAAAAAAAAAGTAAGAAAAGAAAATGAATCGCGTAATTATTTGCCACAAAGGAAATGTGAATGAATACGATCGCGAGAAAATATTAAAAAAAAAAAAAAAAACGTTTGATAAAGCGACGTGGAATTAGAACGTGGCGTTAGTAAAAAAGAAATGAATTTTTTTCTGTTTTGCGACCGACAAATAAATTTTTAAATCAGTTTAAATCAATTTAAATCTTGTTAAAAATTTATTTATTTATTTGTTTTCGAATTTAAAAAAAAAAACAAATATAATTAATGGAAAATGGGGAAGGGGGTTGAAATGATGACGTCATTAGATTTGAAAACAAATGCTGCCAAGCGTTGGAAAACAAAAACAAACAAAACGAGAGGGAATTATTATAATAATAAGAAAAAAAAAGTTTGTATAACGATTAAATTTTTACACCTTTTTTCCTTTACCTTTTTTTTCACTTTTGGAGGTCAAAGGTTAAATTATTTTACTAATTAATAATTTTTTACCTTTTAAGCTCGAGATTTATTTTTTTTTCTCCTTCTTCTTCCTCTTTTTCTCCTTCTTCGTTTACTTATTCACTTTTTGAAAAAAAAAAAACATTCCAAAAGGTAATTTTTCCACCCGGATTTTTCCATCCTTTGAATTTTCCTTTTCCTTTTTTTTTTTTTTTGGAAAAGTGAGTTTAATGACCTCGATGAAAAAAATTTACGACAGCGTCTGAAACAAAAAAACAAAAATTTTTTTTTTGACGTCATTATTATCACCATTATTATTATTATTATTATTATTATTATTTTAAAGCCAAACCACAATTTTAAATAACTTAATTAATTTATTGTTTTTTTTTTCGCGCCACGTTTCTCGAAAAAAAAAAAAAGTTTTAATCGTGTCAGTAGAAAAAACATTTTCTACTTTTTAATTTTTCGATTTTTTTTCTTATTAATTAACTTATTAAAAACTTTTTTATTTCGTTTTTTAAGTTTATTTTAGTTTATTAAGTTTTATTTAAATTTATTTTTTATTTTTTGGCGTGAAAAAGTGCAGTGGAAGAAGAAAAAGAAAAATATTTTCGATGTCAGTTCCCTGGTCAGTTTCAAAATATTTTACGTCAGAGTAGACGAGAAAAAAATTTTTTTCGTCTATCTGAACAATATTTATTTGTAAATTCCACGTTTACATAAGTTTTTTCATGACCTTTCCTTTGTTAAAAATCCTTTTACTCTTTTTAAATTTTACTTCGTTTAAATCGTAAATTTAATTCTTCACTTCAGCCAACATGAAATAACAAAAATTCTTTCGTGTAAAAAAAAAAAAAAAAAAAAAAAATTTCCCTTCGTTATTTGTTAATGAAAATTGTTTTACACTTTTATTATTATTATTTCATATTATTAAAATTAAATTGTAATGTTGGCATCAATGTTTTTACCAAAAAAAAA